AAGTTGACTTTGAAGAGTCGCCACCGGCATAAGCCACATACATATATAGCAAACCACTTTTTGTAACAGAAGAAAAAGCTGTGTGTTTCAGAAAGAAGCAGTCTTAGAAAGACATTCTGTCACCCTGGGCGATTTTACACAAAGAGAATATTTAGTGTTAGGAGCTTGTTTTGCTGAAGATTTCTCCATTCCCAGTGCTGAAAGTAAAGGCAACTAGTAGTCGATTTCCTTTAGATTGTCTGCTTTCTCTTTGTTGTGGAGCATACCTGTTCATCGCAGCCTCACATGATGTAACTATGAAATCAGAGCTCTGTTTTCACCAAAGAACAGACCAATTAAAATGCTTATTTACAGAAGTGGTATAGTTCTATAAAAAGGCAAATGAAGTTCAACTTGATGTTCTCTGTAATGTCCTATTGTATTATGTATTTCTTTACAATTAGCCTTTGTTTTTTAGAGTTAAATTAATTTTTGTTGAATGAAATGACTTCAGGCAAGTCTCTTTTATAACAGTTTTTCAAAATGCCATTTATCCTGGTTTGTCATGTTGTGTGTGTTTGTAAATATGAATGAACTCTTTCCTAAAACTTGGCAAATGAATAGAAGTAGAAAATAATGATGTTACTTACTAGTACAAGGTGAAATGATTAGATTAGACGAGTCTATAAAATCTTTGTCAGGCCTGACTGGGTACAATTTTTTTTTTAATTTGTAGTGTGGTTTGTATACATGTATGCGTGTTGCCAATAATAAGATTTTGCAACTGGATGACACATGATTTTACTTGAACAGTGAAGGACAAAATCATGATTGCAGAAGATATTTTTATAATCTGTATTTTCAGAGATCACCCCTAAACTCTGTAATGATCTAAGAGAGACATATGCAATTGCTAAAATTTTGTTGGTTAATGTAAAGATATAACTTTTCTGTACTGTACTTTACTTTCTTCATAGGAATTTATAAAGATATTTTAATCAACTTTATATCTTGCATGATGTAGCAAACCTTTTAAATATGTATGTTAAAATATGTTGAGTTTGGATTAAAATGTTGACTAGATTTCAAATTTGAAAATAAATTCATCTCTCATTAGGAAGTTACCTGTTGGTAACATGATGGGGGATGGATTAATCAGCAACAGTGTGATAGGAGAATCTACATAAAGGTTGTGTGCTAACATGATTTGTAGTTTATAAACTGAAGTAATTAGAAGTATCTCTGGTCACATTTCTGTTGCTTACAAAATGAGATAACCCCTGAAAAATCTGATATCTTACTGTCTGTTTGCACAGATACAATTATTATCGGGGACTGCAAGGACTGTGTTTGCTTACCCTTCTATCTGATAGGGAAAGAATCATTTGGGTGTGAAGTAACGCTCTAGGGCTTTACTTGGTGGGGAACTCATTTGTCTCCCCGAACTAAGGCCACAGATTTCAGAGAAAGAAACTGCCCTTTTAACACTATGTCCTTTCACTCCTGTTAATGAAGGCAACATTAGATCAATGGAAACAAATTTGTCTATTTCAAGCCCCTCACTGTCAGTAAAAGCACCCTCACGTGACACTAGCCACAATTTTCCCTGATTTGTTAGACTGATAGGAGTGGATAGAGAGAAGGATCCATGGGTTCCCTGCCCTTTCTGTAGTGGTTTTCCCACTATGAGGACAAGTCAGAGTTTTTCATTTTGCTGCACATAAAATGCAGGAAGATCTGCAAAAACAAAGGGAGAGAATAGGGACAAGAATGATTGAGAATATCTGCAATTATCCAAAAACCACAGGGAAAGTGTTTATTGTTAGGAGATAAGGGATGGTGAAGTGACGTCCATTGGGCATCAGCTTAGTGATTTAGTCCCTGTGGAGTCTACCACAGGCCGAATGGAGAACTGGCAAAACAGCTCAGCCTCTTTTGGAGTATGACCTGAAACCAAGCAGCGATCCTTGCTGTCTGCTTCTGGCATTACACCTCTCAAGAAAGAGATCTATTCAGTTTCTATTTATCCAACTTTTCCATTGTTTTCCAAGAGAACAGGTTCTCAAGACTCCAAAGATGCGCTGAATTCACCATATCCAACCTTTGCCTTTAACTCCAGCACCAATCACTGCTCCAAAATGTATGACCAAGATAGTAAAGTGGCTTTACTCAAAGTATTATACAAGCCACAGTAACTTTTATGTAGAAAACCAACTAGATAAGGCCTTACTTGTAGGCATGAGGCCCCCAGGAATTACTTTGAAGGGTGTCAGAGCTGGAATCCAGAAACCCTTGTACCTCAGTTTATTCAACGATTTTTCTATTATTGGCCATTCCATTTTTTTTCTTTTATTTACCTCTAAGAGTGGTAGTAGATAATATGCATCCTTATGAACTAGTATTGTTTTCTATAGGATAGTCACAAACTGGGGACACTGGGTTAAAGGGCATTGAAAATGATGCATATTTTAAATTGTAATAGATGTGGTCAGATTACTTGACAAAAGGTCCCGCCAACCTTACCTGAGGGTGGGTGTCCCAGCATCCTCGCCAAAAGTTGCTCTTTTTAATTTTTGCCAATCTGGTGGGTGGGAAAAATGGCATGTTATTTTTTTACTTCACATTTTTCAACTGAGGTTGAACATCATGTTTACAAATATGAACCGCCTATTCACAGCTGTTGGCCAATTTTATTGGAATTATATATTTTTTCTCATCATTTCTAGGAGCAGGCTGAATAGAAGTATTAATGTTCTGTTCTTTATGCTGTAAAATCAATTTTTCTAGACACTCATTTGACTCGAGGTGACTTTTGCTATTCAACAAGTTTAAATTCGTATACAGTCAAACATATTTTTATTCTTTATGATTTTGAGATTTCAAATCTTGCTGAAGAAAGTCACTTCTATCCCCAGACTAAAATATTCTCCTAATTTATTTATTCTTCCGTTGAGATCTTTTATCTACTGGGATTTATTTTTGCATATAGCATGAGGCAAGATCAGAATAATTCAATTCAATAGTCAGGCATACGAAAAGCTAGAACAAAAACAGATCGAAAGGGGGCGAAGGAGCGATGAATGCTCGATTCCATTCCAGGTATTTGTCCGAGCAGGATTAAGGTCAGATCTGGTAAGCATTTCCGGTACAGGTAAACCCGTCGAGGGGTGAGAGCCGCTTGTAACGCAGCAAGGCTGGTATTGTATGCTTCCGCTCCCTAATGTCCTCGGGATGATGAGATGGTTTCCTATCTAGGAACGTTGGATACAGTTCCTCTCCGTGCCTCCAGCCCTGGAATATCTGCCTGGCCAATGAGAAAGTAGCCTACCAAGGCCACTTAACAACATTCCAAACTGTCACAGGCAAAGACTCCCTAGAAGGAGAACCAACAGCCCAACAGCAAACGGCCAGCCAGCGCGACGACGCTCTGCGCATGCGCGTTTTCCCGGGTGTTGACAAAGTCCTGGGCGCTCTTTAGCGAATTCCGTCTTCCAGCCGGCGGCGCATGCGCAGCCTGGGTTCCTGTGGGCTCTGCGCATCTCTGTAGGTCGGCGTGGGGCGAAGGGGGCGCTGGGAAGATGGCGGGGGCGTGCACGGCGGCCGCGGCCGCTGGGATATTTTGTCTCAGCTTGGGCCGAGCGGCCGTCTCTTTCGGCTTCCGCCATGGTGTCAGCGCGTTGTTTGCCCAGAAGCCCGAGCGGGCGCCACGGTGGCTCCCAGGTCAGTGTCCGAAAGGCGGGAGTAGGACGCGTTCTGTCGAACATCCCGGGTTCCGTCCGTTCCTGTCCAGGGCTTCTCTGGCGCCCCGTGCAGAGATGCTCTTCGCCCCTTCTTAGTACCCCAGTTCTGGGCGCTGTCGGCAGTTCTGGTGGAGGGCTCTGCCGCGGCCCCGGGGCGTCCTGCACAGCCCGGGCCAGCTGGCGCTTTCCGCTCCGCAGCTGAAGCGTCCTGCTCTCTGCCCGCCGCCCTGCAGCAGGCGCCGACAGGGAAAGTTAAGTTGTGCATTTAACGCGTTTGATTATCAGTTGCTTTTTCTGTCTTTCCTCTGCGGGTTCTAAGGGGTTTACAGATCGTAACTCTGTGTTAAGATGCTTAGACCTACCTTCCCTTGACTTGAGGGAATTTACAATATGAACATTTTCTTTGTAAAAGTGTAGACACCGTCATTAAGCCTAATGTCTAGTTTTGCCTTCTTGATGCTCCGGGCCCAGTGAAAACCTTAATCATTACTCTACAAAGGAAACGAGAATTTGAGGCAAAAATCAGAGCACCTGAGTGTTTTGTTTATCTTGTGTTTGATTCTTCCCCGTCCCACCCTACTCCCCCCACCCCCCGCCCCATATATGTAGTCTTTCTGAATTATGTCTTTTTATTTTTGGGTTTTGTTGTGTTCACACCCTTGCCACACAGCTGTCAGATGCATAGAATGGGAATTGTCATTGCAGATACTCTTGTTTTGAGTTAAAAATTTTAGACATATGTAATCAGTTTAACTTATGTTGAATTGTACACAACCAAAAGGCATGTTATGTATATGTTCCTCTAGCAAAGTATAGTGTGTCAATTCATTGACTAGAGTATAATACTCTTTCATCTATTTAGCAAACATTCATTGAGCACTTAATGCCCCAGGCTCTGAGCTAATGTTAAGACCTTAAGCACTTATAACTCATCAAGATTAAATAAATTATAATTGTCTCAGGGAGAAATTCCTGTGTTGGAAGTAATATCGAGAAGAGGATAGGAAGGATTTTTTGATTGCTCAGCTAAGGAAATAGGAAATGAACATTTTTGCTTATATAATCTGCCAACCAACATAACTGGCTCCTGCTAGCCCTGTTTTTCACTAAAAGTTTTAAATTTGGCATATTTCCCTCTACATTGAAACTTTGAAACAAGCTTACATGTAAAAGGGATAGCTTTAAGGCCTTCAATCCAGTTTTAAAAAATCAACTTCTCAAATCCAAAATGAGAAAAACTTTAGCAGCTCACATGGAAGAGACAGAATTTTCATTAGCCACAATAAAATGGAGGAAAGTTTCATGTAATATAAAAGAAGAGATTTTGTTGGTCCGGAAGAAGACTGTAAGGAAATACACAAACTAATTTCTTTGGAGGGAGGAGGTGGGATTAGAAATGACTTTTTGTTTTTAAAATATCTTTCTACTTTTTTTTAAGAGCAGGTATTGATTTTATAGTAGGGAAAGAACTTTAGACACAATGAAATGGAGTAACCTTGTAAGGTTTACCAGTTGTGCTGTTTGTACTTAAATTGCACTAAGATTTATGTGTGCAATTCACAAAAAGCCAAACCAACAAATAAAACACAGTGATTGCAGAGTCCTCTGAGAAATCTTTTTCCAAAAATGGTACTGTCATATATCTATTCAAGGTACTTGTAAAGAAACTGCTCATTGAACCCACCTCAGCTGATACAGAATCATGATCGGCTATTACCATGGCCCATGATTTGTGGGTGCAGAGGGAGTCAGTAATAAAAGGCTTACAGCACATCCTCCTTTGAAACAATTTCCCAAGGGCAGATCAAACTTGTTTGTCCCCCTCCCACCAAAAAGTTGAGGATGTGAAACTCCTCAAACATTAAAAAAATTTTAAAAAAGACAAAAATCTCACCATAGAGGGCTAAAATTAGTGTAGGTAAATCTGAATGTTGATTGACGACACTATTTAGGACAGATGATACAGCAGCAATGGGAAAACATCTTTGACGAGTCTCTGTCTTTTTTTGCCTTGACCTCATTATGTATTTTGGAAGAATCAAGATTGGACCTTGCTCAAAGGCGGTACAGATTTTGCCGTGATTTTAAAAGATATCATGCACAAACTTGTGACTTGAATACTTTGTCTGTCTGTGTTTTTCCTATTAAATGGGAATAGTATTTGACATCAATTTGACGAGTTAAGAAAGTTAAGATTGAAAATAAATATGGTTTTCCAGAAACTCTATTTGCAAACTATATGTTTTGTGTACTTTGTTTAGCTTGCAGACCAAAGATGTCCGTCTCTTTCCTTAGTCGACCGGACCTTCCAAACTTGGCTTATAAGAGGCTAAAAGGCAAAAGTCCAGGAATTATCTTCATCCCTGGCTATATTTCTAATATGAATGGTACAAAAGCGTTGGCGATTGAGGATTTTTGTAAATCTCTAGGTCACGCCTATATAAGGTAGGAACAACACATTTCACGGACAATATTACTACCGTTTAGCATGGCAATAGAGAATTACTTCTGCTCTAACCAGTTGAAGCAACTGCCGGCATTTTTATAGATTAATTTATTTTAATGGTTTGTAAACTTGCATCTTGTGATTTAAGGTTCTTGTAAATGCAACCTTTAAAAGATCTTTGTTAAAGGTCTTTGTGCCACACTGACAATGCTGGCAGGAAAGGAAACTAGTGGTAACTGAGCTCTTTAGATACAATCATATGAGAGCAAACCAGTATACTGGTTGGCTTTCTTATAATTATATTGCGGTTTTCCGTTGGGGACTTAAGGACTTTTATTTGACCATTGTTTATTTTCTTACTTTAAAAATATGTAGTTTAAGATAATATATGTATTTAAAAGTATTGTAAAATTATTATTGTATAATTCATGTTTCTACTGAGTTTTCTCTTCCTCCTCACTCCTGTAATCTGAATGGGTATAAGCATAAATAGAGATATGTGTTGTTTAAATAAAACTTGATTTTGCAGTTCCTAATATTTCATATTGGTAATTATTTTAGTAAAATAATGAGTTTACGTTGTTGTTATTAGGTTTGTTTACTTAGAACAATCACTTCTTTAGTACCTAATTTGCCAGAAGAAATAGTATGGTTTAATAGAAAGAGCCCTGGCCTGGAATTCAAGAAACCTGGGTTCTAGAATCAATTCTAGCAATAACTGTGACAAGATAAGTCAGCTAATAAACACTGGACCTATTTTCTTCATCATAAAAAAGGAGGAGGTTGAACTAAAGACAATCTGAATTCTTATTCCAGCACTAACAGCCGAAAAATCTATTCATCCAAATTTTTAGAAGAGGAGTTTCACTAATATTCACTCAATAGATCTAGAAAATACAACTTTTAGAAATAAAATAATAAATAAATATAAATATAAAAAAACTTTTAGACTTTGTTCAGTATATTAGCAGAAATTATGTCACTTATGGATTTAGTCTTATTCTTCTTATAAAATTAACTGAATTATTTTATTTTCATGCTTAGAATTCTTAAAAAATCTGTTCTGAGCTGTTATTCTCAAGACCAAAGTATCTTTTGCAAGTAGACTTTCTAGCACTATACTGGGTGCTGTGAAATATACAAAGAATTGTGAAACATGGTCATTGCCCTTAAGGATCTTTTAATCAGGGTGGGAAAACACAAGATAAAATACATGTGAGAAATGAGGCAAAAATACTCGTCAGAATGGGATTGTGTCAAAAGAGCAGTATGCTTATTTGTATATGGTGAGAGAAAACTGGGGCTCGAAGTGGATAGAAAAAACTTGATAAAGGAATACTGAAAAATAATTAGGATTTGGGTAAGAAGGAGGAGCTATCCAGAAAGGGGGACTACCCTGAGCAGAATGTGATAATACCAGGAAAATTGCCATCATTCTCCTTTTTGTCCCCAAAAGAATTTGAATCAAGAAATTGCCATTTTACCCAGGTTGTGAATTTAAATTGAGACTACCAGAGCTATAACCGGTTCCTGTCCCCTTATAAGACATTTGTGGGTTTTCTGCATTTTAGATGCTGTGAAAATACATTTTCTTTTTAAAGATGTATTAAATAATCATGATGAAATTATAATATGTGCAGACTTATTAAGTAGTGCTGTATTAAAATGTAGCCTAAGTGTATCTTTCTAAATCCTTATAAAGTATAGCCCTTCACTACAAATTTTTGATTTGATCAAGTTCCTTTTTCTTTGCTTTTATCAAACTTCATTGCAATCTAATCACTATTAACTATTGATTGCAGTTTACCTTATTATAAGAGATTTTATCTTGTTTATACTGCAATTTCTCAGTTAACTTTTGTTGTGATTTTGGGTATAAAATGTAGATTTTGAAGGAAGAAATGGTTAATTTTGTATATTATACAAGATGTAATACGTATGCCTGTATGAAAGTGGTGTCTTAATGTCCTGTCACCGTGCCTAAAATAAGATTGAGTCAGAGCTCAGGAATATGACACATCGTTTTGGGGCTAGTATTCTCTCATAATTGTTTCTAATAGAATTTTAAATTCTGGATTTGGGAATATGTCGCAGAGTATTGAGGCTGCTAGGGTAGAGTTGTGTTACTGTATTTAAAAGTCCTAAACTGCTGAATGTGTTTGAATTATCTTTGTTTGTTGGTTAGGGTTCAGCAAGAATGAACTATATTTTTTACTTGTACCCTATTAATATCACTAAATGTTTATATTTTCCTTTTTAAAGGAACTTTATGTGTATTTTGTATCCTCGCCATATATTTGGAAGGCAGCTGTCAAAGATGCAGCAAACAGAGATGCCCAATTGCCCACTAAAGGGGGGGAAGAAGGATTAGCTGGGGTCTTTCTCCCTTCTTCTCCCCAGTCCATCTTCTACATCCTCTTGTTGAGGAAAAACAATAACTGATTTAGACTTCAGCAGCTGCCTTGTTGCACTATCTCCCAAGGATCCAAAATCATTTCACTTCATATCTCTAAGAAAATACGTATATGCTATATATCACATATATATTCTTATAAATACACTAAATCACTAGGATTTATTAATTTTCACCAGATTTTAAGAATCAGAAAAACATGAAAGCTTTAAATTTGAATAAAGTAATTCTTTTTACCTTTACCTTTCACTTATATTCATTTAATATGTATTATAATATTCAGTGTGTATTATAATATTCACTGTATGAGGTTTACATGCCTAGCCACCATGAAGAATGTGGAGACAAAAGTAGGATAATGGTATTTCCCCTCTGGGATGTTACAGTCTCATAGGAATGATGAGACACATATATACACACAGAGTGTCTTAGAGAGCAGGATATAATAAATTGATTGTGACTGATAATGAAATGTCTATAGAATTCATTTTTAGGTATAGATTTTTTTTTTCAACCTATCTGGGAAGGCTTTCCAGCAAGAAAAGGTCATTTGGACTAAGCTCTAGGCAGAGGATATTAGTAATGAGGGGGAGGGCAGAAGGTATTCCAGGTGAAGGAAATAGATGAGACAGAAAACTAAGATCCTGTTTTAGGAACAAGTTGATCAGTTTGGCTCAAGCAGTAGTTTCCTCTGATGAAATGATAAAAGGTCGGTCTGAGATGACCAGAATATAATGATCTAAAAAAACAGGCTAAAGCACTAAATTTTTATATTGCATGTCACAGGGAGCCATTGAAGTTAATGCCATATCAATACAATGTTTCAGAAGAAAACCTGACAGGTATAGAGTGGACCCATTTGGAGAGAGAATAGAGGCATGGAGACGCGGTTGGGAGATAGGCTGAGTTTCAGACGACAAAGACCTGTACCAAGATACTGGTCTTACCTAATTGAGGAGAAAGGGATGAATGTGAGAAGTGAGAGTGAGTGAGGACAGTACAGAGCGGGCAGTGTTCTATACCCTGGAAAAATAAACTTGAATAGAACGGTCTGCCCGTGAAGAACTGACATTCTAGTCAGAGGGAGACAGATATTTAATACTTGATTACAACACACCATATGAGAAGTGTTGATTGAGTACGTACAAAAGAAAGTGACTGACTGGTACCAAACAGGCATATTTGTCAAAGAAAGTTCCTCAAAGGAGGTGACATGGCTTAAAGGATGACCAGGAGTTTGGGTGGAGAAGGAAGGCTTTCTAGGTGCTGGAGCAGCAGGCAGAGGCTCAAAGTTATGACAGGGCTTCGCCAGGAATTGGGAGTAGCTCCCTGTGACTAGGGTTTAGGGTCATCTGCAGGAGGGGTAGGATGCTTCATGATTTACTGAATTGAGACCTTGAAGGAGAGGTGAAATTCAGAGATGAGACAGACTCTGAGCCTGGAGAACTAGGAAGTTAGAGAAGCAAACTAAGCGGGTAGGCCGGTGATGAATTTGATTCTGGTCTCCTCTTTCCCTTCCATTAATTCGGTGAATATGTACTAGACACTTATATTTGCAAGGTACTCATCTAGGCACTGGGAAAACAGTGGTGAACAAAACAAAGTCTGTGTGAATATGGAGCTTCCATTCTAGTGTGGGAGACAGACCACAAATGAATAGCAACGTTCGTTATGAAGAAAATAAAGTAGGATTTTGCTAAGGGTTTGCTGAAATATATACTGACTGCAGTGTTTTATTTTAATATGTTTTAGGCATTGTAATAATGATTAATGTGCTATCTTCCTTCAAAATCAGAGAAACAAACACATAGATAGATACCTAGACATAGGTCTATATTTTCCCTTTTTCCAGGTTCGATTACTCAGGAGTTGGAAATTCAGATGGTAACTTCCAAGAATGCACAGTGGGAAGATGGAGAAAAGATGTTCTTTCTATAATTGATGACGTAGCTGTAGGACCACAGGTGACTGTTTTTGTTCAATATGATGGCACTTGTTGGCTATAACCTCATGATATCTGAGCTGTTTCTTTAGATACAAAAATTTATTTAATATTTTAAATGTTTAACAGTCAATTTTGATATTTGAGTTAAAATTGTTCTATCATTTTCACTTTCTCATAAAATGTACCATTTTACCTTTCATTTTACAAATTTTATTTTTATAATTCTTTATTATAGACCTAATACTTTAGCAAAAAGTAATCATAATTTTAATTCTATTTTGTGAAAAATAGTAAAAATCTGGGAGCCATTGAATGTAAAAGAAAAAAAGTACATACATTCTATTAAACTACTCCCCTTACAGAGAAGAAGACATGCCTCTTTAAAACTATACGTATTTTTATTTTTAGATACTAGTTGGATCTAGCCTCGGTGGATGGCTTATGCTTCATGCTGCAATCGCACGGCCGCAGAAGGTTGTCGCCCTTATTGGTGTAGCTACAGCTGTAGATAGCCTAGTGACACAGTTTAATCAGCTTCCTGTTGAGGTACGTCACAGGCAACCTCCGGGTCGACCTCCTGTCCTTCTTCTTGTGAATATTTGTTCAAGTGTCATCTGTCCTTTGACTTATGCTGGCCCATCTTCTAAGTTGCCTTTTTCTAACTATGTATCTTTTTGTAACTGTTTGTATCTTGTTGTAACTATTTGTGTGTATCTCTTTGCCTTTAACTATTAGGTCTCTTATTTAAGCTTTCCTTTTCTTCACAGTCCCTTCAAATCATTCTGGCAAATATTAGCCACATTAATGAAATCACACTTTTAGTTTCTTTTTTTAGTAACATTTTCTTTATTAATCACATTTACTTATTTGGGTTATACATCATGATGTCTCTCTGTATTTCTTATTCTTATTTTGTGGCATGTGGGAAATCGTACCTATTCTTTTTAGCACGTTAGACTTGGCTAATGGATTATGAACCTCTGTGTGTGTGTGTGTGAGGAAGATCAGTCCTGAGCTAACATCTGATGCCAATCCTCCTCTTTTTTCTGAGGAAGACTGGCCCTGAGCTAACATCCTTGCCCATCTTCCTCTACTTTATATGGGACGCAGCCACAGCATGGCTTGACAAGCAGTGCGTCGGTGCACGGCCAGGATCCGAACCGGTGAACCCTGGGCCGCCGCAGCGGAGTGTGCGCACTTAACCGCTTGCGCCACTGGGCCGGCCCCATAAACCTCTTTTTTTAGCCTGAAAGCCTCAGATCCTGTCTCAGCAGAGCTCTCCAAGTACATACTCTCAGTCAACCAGAATTAGCACACATTCCTGGCTTACACACTTAATTGGCATTCTTTTTCTACTCCTAATTCTCACCTTTAAAAAAAAAAGTGCTTTTCAGGGCCAGCCCGGTGGCATAGTGGTTAAGTGCGCACGCTCTGCTGCTGGCATCCCGGGTTCGGATCCCGGGCGTGGACGGATGCACCGCTTGTTAAGCCATGCTATGGCGGCATCCCATATAAAGTGGAGGAAGATGGGCACGGATGTTAGCCCAGGGCCAGTCTTCCTCAGCAAAAAGAGGAGGATTGGCAGATGTTAGTTCAGGGCTGACCTTCCTCACAAAAAAAAAAAAAAAAGTGCTTTTCATTATTAGCGTGTTCTTCAGCAAATCATGGTAGAAATGAGGTTTCTGAAATAACTGAGAAAGTAAATAATTTATTATACTTTATTATTGGACATATGTTTAAGCACTTCAGTTGTTTGCAAGGATAAAGGAATAGTGGGTAATAGCTCTTTATTCTTGTATATGTTAATTTTTGTATTTTGCATTCAATTGAGTTCTTCTTGGGCATCTTTTTCCTAGGTCTCTAAATTTCACCTGTGGGACTAGATCCTGACAAGCCTGAGGCCCAGAAAATTAAAGAAAGAAAAACGGTCTAGAGCAGTGGTTCAAAAAGTGTAGTCCCCAGGTAGCAGCATCACCTGAGAACTTGTTAGAAATGCATATTCTTGAGCTTGGTCCGAGACCTTCTGGATCAGAAACTGAGAGTGCAGCCCAGCAGTCTGGGTTTTTTTTTTTTCCTTCTTTTTTGTTGTTGTGAGGAAGATTAGCGCTGAGCTAACATCTGTTGCCAGTCCTCCTCTTTTTGCTGAGGAAGATTGGCCCTGGGCTAACATCATGCCCGTTTTCCTCTACTTTATGTGTGGAACGCCTGCCACAGCATGCCTTGATACGTGGTGCGTAGGTCCGTTCCCAGGATCTGAACCTGCAAACCCTGGGCCGCTGACGCAGAGCACGTGAACTTAACCACTCCGCTCCGGGCCGGCCCCAGCAGTCTGTTTCAACAAGCCCCTCAGGTGAAGTTTGAGAACCACTGCTCTAGAGAGTGGAGGAGCAGGAGGAGGAGTAGAAGAAATAAATAGAAGAAAAAAGCGTAGGTAGTGTTGAACAGTAGAATGTCATTAACTTTTGCCTCAAGGTCTGCACTGCATCCAGTGCCATATATTCTATCTAAGTTTATTCTTAGTTCACGTTCTTCCCAGCTCCTTAAGCAACGGCATTGTCTGCATAGTCAGGTTCTTCATATGATTTCCTGTCAGGGCTAAAATTACAAAGCTGGTGTTCCTTGCTCTTATCTCCTGTTTCTGAATTTTTTTCACTTTGTTGCTTGTTTCTCATACATAGTTGCTCAGTGTCCTCATGCTGCTAAATTTTTCTACCACTGTGTCTTTCTGTCTTTCTGCATCTACACCTTGGACCCCTTACTCCATCCTCTAAACTCAAGTGCTTCTCATGGTAGGAAGTTATTTCAAGAACATGGCAGATTGGAAAGGAATTGATTAAACAATTTTTTTTTTGGTTATTGGGAACTGACAAGATCTGTGTACATTTCTTTTTATGTGTGGGTATCCACATCGCTTAGAGGGGGGATATGGTAGATACCCCCAAGTGACTGAGAAGATCTATAGCCTGCAAATCAGGGCATATCTTTGCTAATCCTAAATCAGACCAGCAGGTGGTTGTTAACGGAAACATGTTGAGCCCTTGTTAACTTAAAAGCATGTGTAAGAAAAGAGGACCCTAGGGACTCTTCTTCTTCACACAAACAGCTAGCCCCAACAGTGTCAAGGGAGCAGAACTGGAGACTTTTTACTATCTTCTTGAGCCGTGGGAATGTTAAGACCCAGCATTTACCGTTGTATGGGAACTTGACTTACCTCTTGACTGACTCTAATCATTGTCTCCTTTGGACACTAGAGGGCGTCAGACAGGATGCGCAGCTGTTTGGGTTTTTTTTTTGTGAGGAAGATCAGCTCTGAGCTAACATTCATGCCAATCCTCCTCTTTTTGCTGAGGAAGACTGGCCCTGGGCTAACATCCGTGCTCATCTTCCTCTGCTTTTTATATGGGACGCCACCACAGCCTGGCCTGACACCTAGCCCCAGGTGCATCCGTGTGCGCCTGGGATCCAAACCCCGGTCGCCAGCGGAGCGCGAGCACTTAACCACTCTGCCGTGGGGCAGCCCGGACGTGCAGCTGTTTGGAACCTAAACTTCTCAACCACATTGCCTTGATACAGTTTCTTCTTGGTGTAGAGCTTATGTGTATTGTGTATTTTCTTTGGTTAATGCTGTTTTTGCTATTTCTGAACTTTTTGTTTTTGAGGTTTTGGGACATATAACATTTTGCAAAGTTAAGTTTTTTCTTCAAATGGACAATATTCATGCAACTCAATGGCAGATAACAGCTCGTTGGGGGGCAAAGATGCATAAAATACAACTACTGTGAACTGTGTTCCAGTAATGAGCATAGTTCCCACTTCATCTAATAACCAATGAAACTAAATTCTAATTACTGAAATTACAGATTTCAAGAACAATCCTGAATAGTTTGAGGATATATGAATGAATATCATTTTTGCTTTAAATTTTTGGTTCACACGTTGTTTTAATGCAGAGAACCCCATGATGTTAATATAGATGTACATTTTATAGTTTTTTAGAATTGCATTAATTTCAAATCATTTGGAGACATTTAGAAGTATAGCTTTCAGATATACAGCTTTTTCACTGAATCAGTAATCCTTCTGGAATTTTAAAAAATACATTAAAATGCCTAGATATATATAGATTATAATGTACATATTTTACTGTTTAAATTCTTGTTTTCTTTTTCATATTTGCAATAAATTAACAATTTTAAACATGGAAAAATAATATCTTTATTAAAAACTTAAATACAGAATTTTTCAAATATGGTATATGTGGCTTTTTTTCATTATTTTTTTTATTATTGATAAGGTGTCCACCTGTTTTTCTAGTCTGAAATGCCCTTCATATTATATGGTTGCAAGAGTCTTAAAACTATTTACATCTTGATTTATAGTTTAAGTTCTGAGAATCTTTTCAAAGAATTTATTATAAACAGATAAACCTTTATGCTCCAAGATGTTCATGAACATATCCAGCAGTACAGGAATAGTCAAGTTAATTATCTTAGATCAATTATAGTGGACTATTATGCAGCCTTTAAAATCTTTTCATAGAATTTTTTTTTTGTTTTTTGGTGAGGAAGATTGGCCCTGAGCTAACATCTGTTGCCAGTCTTCCTCTTTTTAGCTTGAGGAAGATTGTTGCTGAGCTAACATCTGTGCCAGTCTTCCTCTATGTTGTATGTGGGATGCCACAGCATGGTTTGACTAACAGTGTGTAGGTCTGTGCCTGGGATCCGAACCCCAGGCTACCAAAGTGGAGCATGCGAACTTAACCACTACGCCACTGGTCTGGCCCCCTGATAGAATTTTTTAAAATGCAGAAATATATGTATTAAATAAGTAAAGTGGCATAGAAAACTATATATGAATGTGTAAAAGGTATCTATTTTATATATTATATATATAAAAACCAAATACATATAAAAAATACTGGAAGGAAATAAGCCAAAATATTAGTGGTTGTTATATCCACGAGGTAGGATTATGGGTGATTTATTTCTTTTTATACTTTTTATATTGCCCATGTTTGATATAATGAGTATATGTTACTTTAATTAGAAAAATTAAGACAAATTATCACCTACATAAATTCTTCAAGAATCAAAAGATACCCAGTGTTTCATTTTAAGGAAATAAGTAGAAATGCTCAGATTTCAGGAAGTATTTGGAAGACTTCATTGTCATCCAAAACAACAACAAAATTTTTTTCTCATTCCGTAAGATTCTGGAAGGCAAAAACTACATTTTTTTTACAGTCAGCCTGAAATTGCATGTGTTTGGTTGTCCCAGAGCAACCACCGGCTTATTTTTCGTTTTTAGTTCTGTGCTTGATGATTCTTCTCTTCCTGCCCCTGCCCCTTTTTCGTAACTTCTCGTAGAGGTGCTTTTAGTTTTATGACTTTGAAATCTAAATGGTTTTTCTTCCTAAGATTTGATTTTATGTAATATGAATGATACCTGGACTGATTCCAGACATTACTGTATTTTTCTCCCTTCAATTTGGCTTTCGGTCGGGATGAAGCAACGCCTGATTGAAGATGTTACCTGATACAGTTGGATCAATCTAAGTTTGAATCCTAGCCATAACAGTTACTGCCTTTCACCTTTGAACATGTGACTTAACTTCTCTAAACTTTAATATTCTCTTTTGTAAAAATGAAATAATAACAGAATTATTATCAGGATCTTATGCGATGCTATGTGTAAAATACTTGTCACAGTACCTTGCACATAGTATTTAATTATAATTATCATTGTTACATTTTTGTTGTCTCTTTTCCTCTTCCTCAAGGACTGCTTTCCTTCGATTAAGACTATTGCATGGGTTAATGTTGCATGAAAACTTTTATTTTCCTCATTTTTCCCAATAGGTAAAAAAGGAAATAGAGATGAAAGGCGTGTGGAGCATGCCATCCAAGTACAGTGAGGAAGGGGTGTATCACGTTCAGTACAGTTTCATCAAGGAGGCTGAGCACCACTGTTTGCTGCACAGCCCCATTCCTGTGAGCTGCCCTATCAGGTTGCTCCACGGCATGAGGGACGACCTCATCCCCTGGCACACGTCTGTGCAGGTTGCTGACCGAGTCGTCAGCACAGATGTGGATGTCATCCTCCGAAAACACAGTGATCACCGAATGAAGGAAAAAGAAGACATTCAGCTTCTTGTGTACACTATTGATGACTTAATTGATAAGCTTTCAACTGAAGTTAACTAGAATCACATTTTTAGTTGGTATGTAGACTAATGGACCCAGAAGATTGCAAGAGGATAACAAATGAAAGACCCTGATACTTAAAAAGTTTTTTCCTCTTATCTCTATTTTGTAAATATCACGTGAGTATTTATTTAATGATGTATTTGCACAAGTGATACAAATTGTGAAGAAAGGACCAGCTGCTGTTTGGAAAATTTTCTCCTGCCTTCGATCTTTGATTTTTTTTTTCATTAAAATATTTCCTATTTTTTTATTCAGGAGATGTTTACCTTCTAATGCTTATGTTAACCATGCCAGCTCTTACTTATGTTCTCTTCTACTTAGAATTGTTAATAAAGCTGGAATTTTTTGTTTGGTATCATTGTATATGGAGATTTGTAAAGTTACTTCTGATTTTAAAGCGCAGTTCACAAAATATAGGAAAGTGTTTATTGAAATCTGAAATGATTAGAGAAATGTCTGAAGCATAATAAAGTTCAAAAAATAAGGATATTACTTTATATATTATATTCTGCAAGTTATATTTGAGCTTAAAATTAAGGTTACCTTTTTTTAAAGGCTCGAAACTTTACAGTGATATAAGAGATATCATTTCTAAATTTTGGCCTATATGTAATATATTTAAATGGGAAAATTTCCTCTTAAACAATGATGTAGTATTTTCATATTTCATGTTCCATAAAGGAAATTCATCTTTCTCTATTATTGCCTACCTGCAGAAGCATTCCTTTTGTATTAATATGTGCCTTCAGTACAGATAGCCAAGGGATTGCTATCCAAATTAGAGGACTTTCTGAAGTGTAGAGAGAGTAAGAAAAGATGAAACGCAAACATAAAGATTTTAAATAACTAAAATAAACTTGTGCGGTAATCAGCCTTGATAGTATTGAGTTGGTGTCGTTTAGCTTATAAGTTTGGCTGGACTTTATTTAGCCCTCTTAGGTTATCTGTCAAAATAAAACTTCTTTAAGTTGACAATACAACATACATATATATATATATATATATATATATATGTATTCACATCTATAATGAGCATGTGTCAAAGATTTATTTAACTTGTTAATGAGGGAACCAGCAGCTGGTAAACCTGGTTCAAAGGACAATTCAAGAAACGTGTATAGATATTGAAGAAAGAATGTTGGGGTAAAATTCCTGTCTGCAAAGAGTTAACGTAGGAGGCCTGACTGCTTATCCTCAGAGGGACCTGCTTACGGTGTTAGCCCTTGGCTGGCGACTGGGACCTTGGATTTTAGGAGGAGTCCACCATTCCTGGAACAGCTAAAAGTGGCTCACTCTGCCTCAACTGCCTGTACAAACAATATGGTTTGTCCCGCACACCTGCTTTCCTTCTGGGAGTCTGGAAGTTTGGTAGGTGCCAGGCGGAGCCTGCCTCGGTGACCAGCTCTCAATAAAAACTGGGCACTGAGTCCCCAACACCCTCCCTGGTGGACAACATTTCACATGTGCTGTCACAATTTGTTGCTGGGGGATTAAGCTCATCCTCTGTGACTCCACTGGGAGAGAATTCTTAGAAGCTTGCGCCTGGTTTCCCTGATCTTCACCCCACGTGCCTTTTCCTTTGCTGATTTTGCTTTGTAGCCTTTCACTGTAATAAATCACAGCTGTGAGTAGAACTATTTGCTGAGTCCTGTGAGTCCTCCTGACATCAGCAAACCTGGGGGTGGTCTTGGGGACCCCTGACAGATACAAAACAGGTTGATATCCTACAGGGCATTAAAACTACAATCTATGAGTTATCTCTTATAACAAACAAAAATCGCTTACAAATCAAAAATATGTGAATCATCTGTGTTTGCCACAGTGCCCGGTGCTAGAGGGGGTTGTTAGAGGATGGCAGGGTGGCCAGTCTCTGCCCAGGCACTGCTGGGCACGTCAATTAGGAAGAGGAGGAAAGGGCCCCTGCCCATGAGTGTTTTGTAGGGTTGGACATAATTATAATAAAATGTAATAAATATGATTTGAGGTTCATTCATCTGTAGAGGCAGTACAGCATAGTGGTTAAGGACAGAGACTCTCGAGCTTGGGTTTGAATCCTGGCTCACCATTTGCTAGCCCTGTGACTGAGCAATTCACTTAACCTCCCTGAGGTTTTCTCATCTGTAAAATGTCATAACATAAACCTAGATAATAAAGTGTAAGGATTAAATAAGCACAACACATTTAGAACAATGATACATAGTAGTCACTACCTTTTTGCTTTTATTTTCATTATGCACGGAGCACAGTCCAGTGAGAAACTGATGGACAATTCATGGGGGTTTAGGAAGGAAAGTGGAGGCAAGGAAGTGGCTCAGGCTTCTAAAGCTGAGCTGGGTCGGACCTTCCTAACCTCAAGTTCCCAAATCAATGTTAGTTGTGGGATATGCTTTCAAATGTTCAGTGGTTAGAAAAAGGGGGAGGGGAGGAACCTACACTATCTAAAGATAAGAAAAGCCGTTTTAAAATTTAATCTAGCTCTGCAGAGGGTAACATGACAAATTCCAAATGAGTTAGAAGCAGATTTAGTATATTCTAGTACATTGTTAACTACTTTAGTGTTCTTTTCTATTTTCCCCTAAAGGTCTTTTTTTCTAAAACCACTCCATGCCTTGTGTTCAGTGACATGGAAAACACATGGACAGCCAGCAAGCTGTCCTGAGTGCCTTATTCTCTGAAACTCCTGCATTATTTAAAAAAGGGTCATGATCCCTCTAAACAATATCAGCATGGGCAATGGGAAGGGACAAAGCAAACGCCAATGGAAAGGAAGGCTAACTGAGGCCACAGTCCACATTTGCTTTTGCTGCATCTATTGAGTTTAGAGGCATATCCAGACACAAATCTAAACAGTATGCTGTTCTCTGAGTGACCAATAGGAAGATCTGTGTGGAGGAGGGGCAAAAAAGAGCTTAGGGCAAGGCTGAGTTTTATAAAGCACAGAGAGCACAAGGAGAACACCACTCACATAATCATTCCTAGGGCAGTGCCCAGAGGGAATATGTCAGGTTTTCATTAAATTTGGAACTGTGCAAAAAAACTAAAGAGCTCTTATTTTGTGGAGGAAGGAAGAAGATGAGTGGAATTTAGATCCCCTTAAATGCAAATCTAAAGTAATTTTTAGTTTAGAGACATAATCATGTAGTATGTGTAACTTGCTTTGATGAAAAGATGGGATGCTTAAGTACATTTAGAGAATATACCTAGAAAAATGCAGGCAATTTTTTTTTTAACCAAATGTGTCCTTTGAGGAAATTATCCTTTCCCATTTGGGCTCTCCCTTTTCTTGGGCTTTCAGGGTTTTGCTGACAGATAAACTTTCTTCTACTAAAAAGGAGGCTCCAGTGTTGGCTTCTCGGTGAAGCCTTTCCTGACTCATCCTCATCTCTGTTTCCAAGAAGTCTGTTGCTGGATCCTCTGTGCTCTCTCATGGACAGCATTCTGTTCATGCCTTTTCAATAGAACTTAACCGCTTCGAAATGCTCAGTTTATATGCCAGCCTCCCTCTCACAGGACCACTGAGGTCAGGAGTTTGTTCGGAATTGTTCATCCCCAGGTGTCTCTGACTATGCTACATCAGCTCCTGTGCTGGCTCCTCCTCCTTACCCACCTGTAAGGTTAAATTCCCTTGAGTTCTGACCTCGGCTCTCTTCTCTCTTCACACTGCTGCTTACTTATTCTCCTTGAGCAACCTCACCCATGTTCCTGGTTTTAACTGCTACCTGCATGCAAATGATTCAAGTACATTCCTCCATTCCAGATTTTTCTCTTGAGCTCCAGACCCATAAAACCAACTGCCTAATGAACTGGGATGGACCGTGGCCTCCCCAATGCATTAAGTCCAAACCCTTTTATCTTTCTCCCTATACGTACCTGCTGCCTCCCAGTCCCCTTACAATAAATGATGCCACTATTACCCCTGTTCCGTAAGTCAAACTTGTGAGTCACTCTGACCGTCTGTTGTTCCTTCACCCAAATCAGATCTGATGGTTCTCTCTCCCTATGGAAAAACTCAAACTGTTTTGCATGATACCAGTGGCAAGGCTGGTATATATTTAACAACCAGCTTTCCAGGAAAAAAAATGCCCTGATATGTAGCATTTGCCAACATCCATGGCATAAATATTCCCATCATAGCTGGTTTCAAGCTACCACTGTGACATCACTGAATACGACGAAGCTGGAAAGAAGTGGCCAGTAGCACACCACTATATAGTATTTACCCCATACATAGACCATAAACATAAATATCCTCAAAAGCATAGGTAATAGTAAAATGTAGCAAAATAAATTAAGAAGTAATCCATTTTGAGTATTTAACCTTTGTTTGTTACACAATTTATTTAAGTATAAGTTTACATAATTTAATTGCTTATAATGGCTCAGTTTAACAACTAGCCCTCAAAATTCCTGAAAATTTAACCATGGACACTTGCAAGAACTCTGCTTTATGATCTGGAGCCTGCTTCACATTCCAGCCTTATTTTTCTTTCTGTGTGTCTCTTCCCTTTAACCCTATGCTCTGTCAGTGCTAGACATTTTTCCCTTCTTAAATAAGCTGCCTTTGCCAGCAACATTCCCAACCCCCCTGCCTCACCCCATCCACCTGGCAAACACATACTCATCTTTCGAGACTTCAAGTCATCTCATTTGTAAACCTTTTCCCTAATCCCCTACCCCTTTCCTTAGGCATAAGGGCGCCTGAGTGCCTTGTGCAGATTTTTAGCACAACACCTGGCTGGCATTTATTGTTTACAAATTTCACTTTGCTACTAGACCATCTTGCCATGTCTCATTCATTTTTTTTTTTTTATTTCAGATATATAGGCCCTTAAAAAAAGTTGTTGAAAAAAATTAACTATAATACTAGAAGTATGCACTCAGTAAATGTCGACTTAAGCAGATTTCCACTGTCACCCCCCCCAGGGGATCAGCATTTTTTCTCTAAAGACTTCCTGTGGATCTCTGGACCCTTCTAATCTATGCCTTGCTGTGGCCCCTGCTCTTTGCCACTGTATCCTCTCCAGAACTGTGAACTCAAATCATTCACTTAAAGCACCCCAGCTATTTGCTTACAATGGGAGGAAATCTTTGGGTATAAAAGATCTGCAAAACACAGTCTACAAAAGAAAGAAAAAAAAGGAAGGCAAATGTACATCTTTTACAATGGCTTCTGGCTTTATCTAACAAATCAACATCTTCCTGAGAGCAATTCCAGGCCCGGAGAAAGTAACATGCTTCCTGTTTGGGCCTCCATTTTCTTAGTTCCAAGTTGGAATTGACCTTATTGCTGCCACCAAGATGTAACACAGTGACTCTCAAAGTTCTGCTGACAATATCCTGGCTGTAAACTC